GCATGTCTCGAAGACAGCAAAGAAAGGTATCCCTGTGGAAGCATGCAAGATCTTCTTTTTCCACATAATTATTATAAACATATGGTCGACAGCGACTGCCCTTTTTCCAAAGAATTTAGAATATGTTGCCACTAATTAAACACTTAGTAGACCCAACTTTTTATAAAAGATCATGAACCAACACTTGCAGCAACTATTTGAATATATAAATAAATAAATTTGCATGGACAGCTCAACTGGTCATAAAGGTAAAAGTTTGGAAGAATCATCAATGATCAAGTCTCCCCAATTTTGGAAGAATAAATAAATTACTCATTAATGAACACTCGCCCATGCTCTGTCGGGTTGGGTTCAGCGCTTTAGAAGAATAAATAAATTACTCATTAATGAACACTTCATAGTAATTAGACATAAATTTGAAGGGTAGTATCCTACTTCTGAGTTATATTTTTTTTTTTGGTGTAACATTCGACCAAGGAATGAGTGTGCGGCTATGTGAGAGCAACCTCTCAAAGGGAGGGGGGCTCCTTGTCGTAGTAAGCAAAGGTCTGCCTCTGTATTCAGTTGATTTACCATGATTTACATCCTCCCAAATGCTCTGTCAGGCCGGGTTGGGGATTCAACCTTTAGGGCCGGATTTTGGGCTACAACATAGGGCCCAAATTTAGAGGGTCCCGTAAATTTTAGAGGCCAATATTTAATTTTTACCTAGCTAGTTTAGAAATAAAAACTAAATGTTTTCAATTAAACTTAGAGGTTAATGGTTCGAAACTTGCATGTTGTTTTTATTGTAATTTGTTCCATAATATGTCTTTGGGCACAGTAACATTTTACCACATTATTATTATTATTAGATAATTAGAAAAACAATAATGATATTAGTTTTAAAGATTGTTATTTTGGTAGGGCCTCATTTATTTACCAGAACAGGGCCACAAAAATCTAAAAACCAGCCCTGTCAAGAGAATTGAATTTAATTCTCTATAATTTAACACATATTTTACAAAATTGGTATCTCCATCTTTGTAAACGTACTAATATTTTGCTTGCCAACGGTCCGAAACTATCATTAATTCAAGCAATGGTCCTCCGACTATATTAATTTTTCATAATTGATCCCTGACTTTTAATTTGGACAATTTAGACACTTGACTTTGTTGTTCCTTCTGTAAAATGAAAGTTAAGTGGGTATTAGTTTAAGGGGTAAAATAGTCATTTCACATGTTTAAAGTATAATTCAGCGTCTTTCTCCCTTCCTTCCTTGTATACGCGACATACATCAGCCTCCAGGGCGCCAATATACTGTATCTTTGATCTTGGACACTCTCCGACGGAATACTACTCCTTCTGTTCCGCAGCTGCAAGAACTGTACGTTCATCTTCTCCTTTTGGTGTGGGACGACCAAGGTCACTCTCACCCCAAGTTGATGATTTTGCTGTAGAAAGGTCTCCACAAGTTTCTTAAAGGGCATCACCATCTCATTCTAGAATAGATTATGGGCTTAATGGAGTAATGGGCGGAGATGATGAGACAATTGATTGGCACAGAAATCTTTTACATGATGATAGCAGTCAGTGGTTGGAAAACTCTGTTGCATATAGTGTCAAAAAAGGATTTGACCGTCAAGGACCTAGAGCTCTAATTGATGCATATGGAATAGATGAAAGGGAAAAAGCATTTAATTATCATCATCATAAGCTTGGTCAACCAGATGCAAATGGTATCGGCAAAAGGGTACGTAGGTGTTAAAACATGACAAAATACTGAAGAGGAAGAATTTAATTGGGAAGACATGAGTCCAAAACTTGGTGATCCTAGTCGGCGTAATGATTTTCATCATCTATGCCACCATCTAGGAGATCTATAACCGGACCCTATGTTGGTTCTCTACCCTTCAAGCCGTATCTACTATCAATGATTCTAGAAGGAGCAGTATACCACTTTGAACAATATACTGCATCTTTCATATGAAACCTGCTGAACATTGTTACAGCCCTGCAAACGAGCTCAGAAAATAGAACAGAATAGAGGGTAAAGGGGAAGAAGAAGAAGAAGAAGAGATCTAGGGTTGAGAAGAAAGGGATTTAGGAAATTTCATTCAGCAATTGTTCAAGCATAAGATAAAAAACAAAACCCATTATCCTCTTGAAATAAATAGGAAAAAACAAAGCTAAAACATCCAGAAGAATCCTCAACCAACTCCCTTGTTTCTTGCTGGACAGCCAGCCTGTGCTCCCCATCAAACGGCGTCGTCGGAGGTGTCTTTCAATTGCTTCTAACGGATAGCTTCAAACGGTGTCGTATCGCCCCTTCCTTGCAACGACTACAACGACTCTCCTTCAAACGTCGTCGTTTGGATAAGTGGCTGGTTTATTCACATTATATCAAACGTTGTCGTTTTGGTCCCCGACTTCCTTAATAGACTTAGCTTTTGAAAAATGCCTATTCTCCTGACCTTCCACCCTACTTCCCTCCTTCCACAATTTGGTTTTATCATTCAAAATCATGACATTACCTCCCTCATCACCTGATCCTTGTCCCCAAGGATCGAAATTGGGAAATTTCTTAGTGATGTGATGATAATCCTCCCATGTAGCAGCCTCTTGTGGTAAATTTGCCCATTGCACCAATATTTCCACCACTGCTGCATTATTCTTCTTAAACAGCCTCTTTTGCAGTGCAGCTATAGGGTGAGTAAGTATCATGCCTTCTGAATCAGTGGAGGGTAATACTGCCTGTGGCTCTATGTCCATTCCCACCTTCTTTTTTAAGAGAGACACATGGAACACAGGGTGAATTGTAACCTCTCCTGGTAACCTCAATCTATAGGCCACTGGACCAATCTTCTTAATTACTTCAAATGGTCCATAAAACCTTGCTGTCAGCTTAAGGTTGGACCTAACTGCTACTGATGATTGCTTGTAAGGCTGGATTTTAAGATAGGCCCAGTCCCCAACCTCAAAGTTTCTCTCAGATCTATGTTTGTCTACTTGCTCCTTCATTCTTGCTTGAGCTTTTGATAAATTTTCTCTGAGGATTGCCACCATAACAGCCCTTTCTCTGAACCAATCTTGGTACTCACCCTCTGTGATCACCTTGAAAGTTAAGTAGGGAGGGGTATATCCATATAAGGCCTGGAATGGGGAACACTTGAGAGAGGTATGGAAATTGGTATTATACAAATACTCAGCTAGGTGCAGGCATTTCAACCAATCCTTAGGCCTGTGGAACACCATACATCTCAAGTATGTCTCTACATATCTGTTGACTCTTTCAGTCTGTCCATCTGACTGAGGATGATAGGATGAAGACATACTGAGCTTCACTTGCATTTGCTTGAAAATTTATCTCCAAAACCTGCTAACAAACACCTTGTCTCTATCACTGACTATATCCTGTTGTAATCCATGTAGTTTATAGATGTTCTTCATGAACAATTCAGCTACCATTTCTGCTGTGAATGGATGTGAGAGGCCTATAAAATGTGCATACTTGGTCAACCTGTCTACTATGACCATAATGACATCCCTTCCTTGAGATTTGGGCAATCCTTCAATGAAGTCCATGGATATGCATTGCCAAGCTTGTTCAGGGATAGGAGGGGTTGTAGTAGTCCAGGATAGGCTATGTTCTCCTCTTTGCACCTTTGGCATACATCACAACTCCTCACTGCTTGAATCACCTCTCTTTTCATTCCTGGCCAATAAAACAGTTGACTGAGTTTGTGATAAGTGGCTTGCTGTCCAGAATGGCCCCCTAAGGGAGAGTTATGCATCTGCTCAACTAACTTACTCCTCAGATCTCCACTGTTCCCAACATACAACCTGCCCTTATACTTAATCAGTCCCTCATTAACAGTGAACTGTGAATCAGGTTCTGTTGCTATCATCTGTTCAGTCAATAACTTAGTAGCCCATTCATCTCCTTCATAGCTCTTAAGGACTTCTTCATTCCAAAGTGGCCTGGCAACTGAGATGGCTCCTAAGTTAGCCTGTTTTTCATCTCCTCTTCTGGATAATGCATCTGCAACACAGTTCTCATTGCCCTTTGTGTACTAAATTTCATAACTTAGTCCCAACAACTTTGTGAGGCCTTTTTGTTGCATAGCTGTGGTGATTTTTTGTTCTAACAAGAACTTGAGACTCTGATGGTCAGTCTTAATAACAAAATGCCTACCACACAAATAAGGTCTCCACTTGTCTATGGCATTGATAATGGATAAGTACTCTTTTTCATATATAGACAAGCCAAGATGTTTAGGACCAAATCCCTTACTATAGTAGGCTATTGACTTCCCTTCTTGCATGAGAACTGTTCCCATCCCTTTGTAACATGCATCAGCCTCCACAACAAAGTCTTTATTAAAGTCAGGTAGGTCAAGCACTGGTGCTGAACATACGGCCTTCTTGAGCTGTTCAAAGGCCATTTCTGAATCTGAACTCCACTGGAAAGCATTCTTCTTCAACATATCAGTGAGGGGTCTACTGATGGTACCATAAGACTTAATGAACCTTCTATAGTACCCTGTGAGTCCTAAGAAGCCCCTCAATTCCTTGATAGTAGCTAGTTTAGGCCAAGCAGATACTGCAGTTAGTTTTTCTGGATCAGTCTGCAACCCATCCTTAGAGATAATGTGCCCTAGGTATTCCACCTCCTTCTTAGCAAATGAACACTTACTGAGCTTGGCCAATAACTGGTTCTTCTTCATTATTTCCAGCACTTCTCTTAGGTGTTCCCAGTGGCTATCCAATGAAGGGCTATAAACCAGAATATCATCAAAGAAGACTAAGACTGTCTTTCTGATCAAGGGCTTGAACACCAAATTCATGAGAGCCTGAAAAGTAGCTGGTGCATTAGTTAATCCAAAAGGCATAACATTGAATTCATATAGGCCTTGGTGTGTTCTAAAAGCATTTTTGTACTCATCACCCTTCTTCATTCTTACTTGGTGATAACCAGCCCTTAAATCTAACTTGGTGAAAACCTTTGCATTAGCCAACTATGAGAACAAATCCTCTATTAATGGGATATGGAACTTCTTCTTGGTGGTTATTCCATTTAAAGCTCTATAATCCACACAAAACCTCCATGTGTTGTCCTTCTTAGGGACCAATAAAACTGGTGATGCAAAGGGTGATGAACTAGGTGATATAATTCCAGCAGTCAGCATTTCATCAACCATCTTCTCTATTGCATTTTTCTGGAGGTATGAGTATCTGTATGGCTTAAAGTGTACAGGTTTAGCCCCTGGGATTAAGGGAATCTCATGATCCAATGGTCTTGAAGGGGGTATGCTTTTAGGCTCTTCAAAGATCTCCTTATACTCTTGCAAAATGGTAGTCAGCTCAGTGTGGAGTGGTTCTGTGCTCTCAGAGGGGTTAATGACATGAATCATACCTTGTAGGAGGTACCCTTATACCCCTTCCTTCTTCCTTCTTCCATATCCTAATCTCTTTTTTAGAAGCCTGCTGCAACACAATTTTCTTGGTCAGTCCTTTTAGCAATATCCTCTTACCCTCCTTATGAAATGAGATTCCAGGAGGTCTTGTGTGCAGTTGAATGGGAGCATAAGTGTCTATCCAATCCATGCCAAGTACTATATCACATCCCCCTAATTTCAAAACTCTTAAGTCCTTCTTGAATTGCTCCTTCTGCACCTGCCATTCCAACCCTTTACAAACTGAGTCACACATCATAGTCTCACCATTGGCCACTGTGACCTTAAGGTTTTCAGCTCTCTCAGTAATAATTCCCCTCTGATCCAATACCTTGGGGTCCACAAAGCTGTGGGTACTCCCACTATCCACCAAAATCACTACAATCTGCTTACCTATTAAGCCTAATAACTTAATGGTATTCATGCTTTCCCCTCCAATGACAGCATTAAGGGTGACTTCCACCTCTTCATCCTCAAGTATAATCCCAGTTTCATTCTCTTCCATCTGATTTCCCATACTTTCCTCCTCTATTTCTTGGCTTTCAACTCCTTCTATGATATTAAAAGTAGGACTCTTGCACTTATGCCCAGGGCTCCATGGATCAAAGCACCTGTAACATCTGTTTTGCTCTCTAAGTTGGTCCCTGAACCTATTGATCTCAGGGATCCTAGCATTGGATTGCAGGGTATTGGAAGATGTAGTTTTGGTTGGTATTTGGTGGGGTTGGTTTCTGCTTGGCTCATTCTGTTTAGGTGGAAAGGTTCTGGGATTAGTTTGGGTTCTCTAGTTATGGGGTGGGGTTCTTTGGGTGTTGTATGGTGGTCTTGTGGTGTTGGTGGGGGTGTTTTTGGAAGGGTCACTCACTCTCAATCCTTTCTTAAACTGCTTGGCCAACCACATGGCATCCTCCAAATTAGCAGGCCTAGAGGTCCTTACAAAACACCTAAGCTGTTGTTTCAATCTCACCACAAAACTATCCAAAAAATATTGATCAGTTAATGTAGGATAACTTTGCAATAGCAACCCCTTAAACTCCTCATACTTGTCAGAAAACTCCACCACACTTCCCCATTGTTTGAAGTTGGAGAATTCCTCCATTACATCTGCATGATTATCACAAAACCTTTTGCAAATAGCCCTAGCAAACAAGGTCCACCGGAAGCCCTCCCTCAGACTATTTAGGTAAGTTTCATACAACATAGCTGCCTTACCAGTTAGATTAACACATAGAACATGCATAACTTCATCTCTGGGGATTCTAGCTAGCATGAAAAATCTCTCACACCTCACCACCCATAGCATTGGGTTATCATTATCAAAAACAGGGAATTCATGCTTATACCTCATTGTTTGTTCACCAGCTTGGTTGTTCAAGCCAGGTCTGGGGTTGAAATGGACTCTCTTTGGCTGCCAAGGTCTTTCAGCTCTCAGGGGATGCATATGAGGGCTATATTGATTCTCTCCAAGTCCTTCCTCATCATCAGACACCTCATGTGGCTCAGTGAGACCATCAACTGCAGGCTCTTTGCAAGGCCTCTTGCCAAGATCAGATCCCTCCTCTCCTGGGCTGGCATGGGATTTTTGAGCCTGACCATGAACTGAAGAAGGCTCAGAAACTGGAGGGGGCCTATTGAGCCTTAGGAGTTCCATGATCTCATCTTTCCAATCTTGCATATGATCCTTTAGTTCCTGGTTACTGTCTCTCATTTCCTGCCTGGCCTCAGTAAGACTACTACTATTCTCCAAGAACATAGCTTCCAGTTTGGATATTCTCTCCTCCATGGCTGCTGATGCTGTAGTAACCATGGTGGGCTCTGATACCAGTTGTTACAGCCCTGCAAACGAGCTCAGAAAATAGAACAGAATAGGGGGTAAAGGGGAAGAAGAAGAAGAAGAGATCTAGGGTTGAGAAGAAAGGGATTTAGGAAATTTCATTCAGCAATTGTTCAAGCATAAGATAAAAAACAAAACCCATTATCCTCTTGCAATAAATAGGAAAAAACAAAGCTAAAACATCCAGAAGAATCCTCAACCAACTCCCTTGTTTCTCGCTGCACAGCCAGCCTGTGCTCCCTATCAAACGACGTCGTCGGAGGTGTCTTTCAACTGCTTCTAACGGATAGCTTCAAATGGTGTCGTATCGCCCCTTCATTGCAACGACTACAACGGCTCTCCTTCAAACGCCGTCGTTTGGATAAGTGGCTGGTTTATTCACATTATATCAAACGCTGTCATTTTGGTCCCCGACTTCCTTAATAGACTTAGCTTTTGAAAAATGCCTATTCTCCTGACCTTCCACCCTACTTCCCTCCTTCCACAATTTGGTTTTATCATTCAAAATCATGAAAAATATCGACCTATATTGTATATGAAACCTCTGATGTCACCCTTGAGGTTAGCTGACAACCAGGTATCCCAATCCAAACGTTCAAGCTTGGCTGCAACCCTGCCGCCAAGAGCCGCTCGCCATATGCCGTGCATTTGCGAAAAAGGTGGTCACCATCCTCCGGTTGGCATGCACAAAAATCACAACACATATTAGTAGTTATTTTACACTTTACTCTCTCCACATTCGTCAGGATCTTCCCGCGTTTCACCAGCCAGATGAACATCGAAATCCTGTTAGGAATCTTCAATTTCCAAATCCTAGCCCAGTCGTTGTGCCCGGTGTTGTGCCTGGGAGTGACAAGAGTTTCATAGGCAGACGCGGTTCCAACGGTGTTAGTACACCGTTATCTTCTTCTTCTTCTTCTTCTTTTCTTAATTAATTGCGTGATTTTTCTTCTTCATTTTCACATTTCGCAGTTTCACTTTAATTTGAGGTGAGCAATGATTTCGGATATTCATAAATTATGAATTCATGCCTGAACATTCACTTTGGAACCATGCCTACACATTCCCGTCCGAAATCACGGACATTCATAAATTATGAATCCATGCCTGCACATTCACTTTGGAACCATGCCTACACATTCACTTTGGAACCATGAGATTATGAATTTTCTGTTATAAGATTATGAATTTTCAGTTATGAAATTATGAATTTTCTGTTATGAGATTATGAATTTTCTGTTATGAAATTATGAATTTTCTGTTATGTGATTATGAATCTACATTACATTCATAATCTCATAAAAGAAAATTCATAATCTCATAACAGAAAATTCATAATCTCATAACAGAAAATTCATAATTTAATAAATATTTTACTTTTATGCGATTATGAATTTACATTACATTCATAATCTTATAACAGAAAATTCATAATTTGATCAAACGCGCGCCGTTAACTCCACATCCGCGAATTTTTATTTTTTTTTGCGTAAAAACGACGTCGTTTGGACTTGCGTTCACCATTCACAGTGAACACGTTTCCAAGGCATAATTTGCCTAGCACAACGTAAATTGGCCGTTCGGTTCAAGCCTCCATCCGGCTCCATCATCCATATCGTCACCTGTGAGTATGAAGCCAATCAATCTTGTTCGCACCTCCTCCGAAATGGCGCCCTGGAGGTTGATGTATGTCGCCTATACAAGGAAGGAAGGGAGAAAGACGATGAATTATACTCAGCAGGTGAAATGACTATTTTACCCCTCAAAGTAACATCCACCCAACTTTCATTTGACGGAATAAAGGACCAATATTGGAACAATTTCAAAAGTTAAGTGTCTAAATTATTTAAATTAAAAGTCGAGGACCATTTGTGGAAAATCAACATAGTCGGAGGACCATATACACAATTTGGTGATAGCTCATTTATAGAGTAAATTTACTTATATTAACAATATACATAATCCAAAGAGTAAAAAACACAATGGTGAAGCTGTCCAAATTAATCTCCCTTGATAAATAGATTAAATCAATCGTCGTTATTATAATCGTCCTCGTCTTCGTTGTTGATGCTGTTGTTATAGTTTATTTTATATTATTTTTTCTTGAGAGTAGGGATGTTAATTGTTCCAGCCTCGTCAGTTACGGTCAAATTCTATCAAGTTGTTGTATTCATCACTTTTGCGTTTATCAAATTGATATTTTATTATTATGTTAATTTTTTCCCCTAACCCTAAACTATCAAGCTTATTGGGCATGTTCAACCAAATTGTTATAAATTGTTGGGCAACGGTTGAGAGACTCGAGTCTAATATTTTGTCATAAAAACATGACACTAATTGCACGATACGTAAATATAATGAAATAAAGTTGTACATGCGTTATTAGCTATAGCTATTGATGACGTAGGGATAAGTATTTGATCTTGAAAATTGGTAAATCTATGCAAGTATAAGGAAAGTTCATTGCACCTAACTATAATTTTTTGTGTAGTGGTAAGTGTTTGATTTTTTAACATAAATAAATTTGAATTAATATTATTGTTGTTGTTACGTTGGTGTTGTTATTATTATTTTCTTCTGCTTGAGAGTAGTATATATATATATATATATATATATATATATATATATATATATATATTACCAAATTGAACCCCCTTTAATTTGAAAAAGCATACTCAGCTCCATGGCTACATGGATTATGCCTTTTCTTGTTGAATGATTTAAAGTTTTATATAAACCCTAGCTTTAATCCCAAAAAAAAAATTAATTAAAATTAAAATTGTTTTACTTCTAATCATATGATCTAATCATATGAAAAGTAGATATATTATTCTTCCATTATATTCCTAACGCCTGCATCATTACTTATATTACTTAAACTTAGTACTATTATTATTATTATTATTATTATTATTATTATTATTATTATTATTATTATTATTATTATTGTTATTGTTATTGTTATTGTTATTGTTATTGTTATTGTTATTGTTATTGTTATTGTTATTGTTATTGTTATTGTTATTGTTATTGTTATTGTTATTGTTATTGTTATTGTTATTGTTATTGTTATTGTTATTGTTATTGTTATTGTTATTGTTATTGTTATTGTTATTGTTATTGTTATTGTTATTGTTATTGTTATTGTTATTGTTATTGTTATTGTTATTGTTATTGTTATTGTTATTGTTATTATTATTATTATTATTATTATTATTATTATTATTATTATTATTATTATTTACTTTTTGGAAACAGATGAGGGATTAACCCGAGGAAATTACACGACGGTGGCGTCTTATCGTCTAGTCTGAGGTCTACGGTCACGCCTTGCACCAACCATGTCCTCCCACATAACATCTTCGATAATCTGGAGTATTTCTATCAGCTCCTTCGCACCTAAACCATGCAAAAGGGCAGCCACGACAAGACGGTCGACGACCTGGTTGTGTTCTCTGGCCACATGCTTGAATTCTACGTGCTGAAAACCTCTATGCATTTGCACACAAAGCCTGAGAATATTGCAATCGAGTTTTTCTCCTTGGTCAGCACTGATGAGACTTCTGATTGTGCCCAACGAGTCACTTTCTAGGATGAGTTTGTGCACTGAAGCGTAGTAAATTTGGAAACAAATAAATACCTGGAGTACGGGTAGTCGAACCACAGGGAAGTGGGGTACTAAGCACTAGCTACTAACTACTCACGTGAAGCTAGCCCTAGCAAAACAGGTGATTTTGGCAATTGAGAAAATTAAATAGCTAAATAAACAGATTGATGAAAACAGAAGAGTAAAGTAGGATTCCTAGGATCTAAGTGTTTAATCCCATAGTGCCAATCAAAGAAGTAATATTTAATTCAGTTCTAAACCTGTGTGAGAATGCAGATGTGGAATTTAATCACTCCCGTAATCTCAATCCCTAATGATTATCAACTCCCGTGCGACAAACACTCAATAAGAACAAGAAATGGCATTCGTTAATTCCTAATTACTACCATCTCCCGAACTAGCAATAATTATTAATTAAATTCCCTAACGAAATTGCCCTTTCCCAAGGCGTAACTGTCAAGTGCAAACGAGTGTGCCCTAATTTAGGCCTAACTCCCGTTCAAACATGAATATGGCTATGAAGCAAGCAGTTTAGGCCTTTAACTACTAGCAACAACATTCGAATACGCGATTGCAACACAAGTAATAAAAAAAATTGTCATAAATATATTAAAGAAATTAAGCTCTTGGCACATAGGTTCATAAACACATTCACCCAGAAATTCCTAAGGTAGTGTTTTAGCCACTCATGGCCATAATAACATTGAAATCAAAATCAGGAATAAACAAAACAACGATAGAAGTAAAAGAAAAAGGGAAAGAATTCTCCCGAATCTTCCTAGCGATTTCTCTACTACAAGGCCGCTTGTAGATCTTGATCTTGTTCCTCTTGAATTTGCTCTGTTCTTGTCTCCAAAATTGCGATCTCTGAATGAATATTAGAGTTGAGGAAGGTGGAATTTTATAGCTAGAAGTCTAAGACCAATCCCGATAGAAATAGAAATTTTGTGCGAAATTGGACTGAAATTGCGTCTCGGGCCGAAATCAAAATTGCCGTCCCACTTAATTGGAATATTTGCCTACCCTTTAATTCTTTTAGAAATAGCAGCACCTTTATGCTATGGAAATTGCACCATTTAATTTCGTGAAAGCCATCTTCATGGAATTGGAAATATTGCGCCCTTTTGTAAATAGCAAATCGACGCCCTTTTTGTAATTTAAGTGCCGCGTCCTTCTCGACGCGAGGCTCGACGCGTCGAGACCTCCTGGTCTCGACTGCAATACTTGTTAGAAATTTTAAACGCGTCGAAAGTACTGTGTACACGCTATTCGGTTCACTTTGACTCTAAATTTGTCCTAGGACTTCCCTTGCTCATAACTTTGACCTACAATGGTTCAAAAACACTAACAAACACCGTAAAACATT